ACTTGTGTTGGGGCTCTTTCATGCAGAAGTGGGAAAACATTGTTCCAGGGAGCACCTGTAACCACTTTCCCACAGTTCTTTTTGGATTTTAACATTTTAATGGTAGAATTGCTTTTGGCTCATCGAGACCTAAATGTTTAGTAACCTAGCCAGCCTTTCTCCTCAAAAGAATATCCCACAACAAGCACATACATAAGAATGCTTGGAAGTGCTTTAGATGTCTCTAGCAGCACCAGTTGAACAGAAGGCCGGGAACCACTCGGAGCTGTGGATTTTCCGTCTTCCTGACAGGCTGTACAGCCAGTCCCAGAAACTACGTTTTAGTTTCTTTCTTGTGGAGACTGGTAATGAATAGGGTTGTATTAACAACTGAACTGAGAACTAGTGGTTCCCACCAACTCCAACATCTGGCACCAGGTATACTTTCTCCTCAGCATAAGATGGAATGATTTTAAGCTCTTATTCCATGTGGATTATAATCCTTTCTCCTCCAATCACTTGCTCTGTGAACTAATGATTGTTACTTGACCCATGTCTCAGTTTTCCTGTCTCTAAAATGGGAATAATTTACCAACTTTGCAGAGTTGTTCTAAGTTTTAGAAATTAGGGACGTAAAGTATGTGGCATGTAGTAATTACTCAAAAAGCAGTGCTGTCTCTTTAGCTTCTTGAAATTCGTTAGCTGGAACTCTACTTGGATAAGAGAACTCCGTGTTTTTGGACTACATTCACTTAGCACTTAAGTTTTATTTTGTAATGTTTCCAAGTATACTCCATGAAAAAAAAAGTATGATTATATGTACCAGAGGTCCTCATTATCTGAGAATAATCAGGAGAGGAATAAAAGACCACTTATAAAATGAAGTCACTTAAAACTGAATCATATTTTCAGAGTAAATAGTAAAACGTCAAACAAAATTCACCTAATTGGAATTTGTCTTGAAAAATTAAACTGAAATTATAAAAATAAGTCCATTTATGCCTGTAGTTAATGAGGCTTAAGTTAGATCTTTAAAATGAATTGGGAATCAATTCTTTCCACAAAATTATACATTCATATTACATGCCATTCTTCATTTTCTGTGTCTTTGCAATATATAGTGATGGTCATTATTGCCAAAAAACAAAAATGCCCTTTGGCTTCATCAACTTGTCCAAAGCCTTCTCTTTATCTTTTGATAGTCAGATCGTTCTCTTGTGAAACGTCTATTACATCAGTATCTTTGTTGATATGTTTCTGAAATTACTACCTACTCCAACTTCTCTAGTGGCCTGATGTGTATTTCAAGCGGTTCCTCAACATCTGTTGAGCACTCAAGAACTATTTCTGACTTCATGAATCCTGCATCTTTTGCAAGCTTTGCAGTTGTACTTCCAATACACTTGCATTGTATTTGTGTTGCTTTGAAGGAGGGTTTGAAACTTCCCACGAGTACGAGACTAACTTCCAAAGATGTTGCTTTAATGGATATGGAAAGATGCTCCTTGTAAGCAGGAAAGGACATTGGTGGGGGGTAGGTGGAGTATTTTTTAAAACGGCCAATTCATGAATATTTTCGTGTTATGATGACTTTTATATCCCTAGGCAACCTTGAAACTGTAGGACATTGGATAACCAGGCCCCCTGTGTAGAATTATTGTCATCCCCTGAAGAAGAGCTATAGCACTGACCTAAAGGTCCCCAGCATGTTCTTTTTCAGCATGTTTGCTCATGCTGTCCCTGGGTTTTCCAGAACAGCTTTTCTATCGTATCATTTGCTCTTCTGCTTCCACATAATCAGTTCATAATGACAAGCCAGATACAGAGAAGAGGAAAAGATCTTTCATGCTTCCTCAGGCCTGTATCAGCACAATAATCTTTTAACCATCTATAAAACTGGCCAGTAATGATTTTGAAAGAATGACCCTTGTGGTTTTTTACTAGTGGAGGACGGATGCACTATGGGGACAACTAAAAACAGAAGATAAGATATGTGAATGTTCTAAATTCCAGCAGCAGCGTCCTGATTTCCTAATCATCACTGACCTTGTGCACTGAGTTATTTTGTGTATCATTGGAGATATTATAGTCAATCTACAATGAGAATAATAATAAAAACAATAACAACGAACAGCTGTTGAGCACTATTCTAAGGAGTTTGCCTTCATGATCTCATTTAATCTTCACAATGCTCTCAAGGGTCAAATGTGCCTCTTTTACTGATGAGGATACTGAGTCTCCATTCTTTAAATGTCTTTGAACAGTGGGTGATGGAACAGAAATCTGGCAAGAGTGTGAGATAAATATGGACGTTGTTGCCCACTGAGGTATAAAGATTACCAGTATGGATCACCATAGGGAGTGCTGGAAATTCAGGAATGTGGGTGTTTTCTGACCCCAGGAATGGAACAAATGGAAAGAATAATGGTGAAGAGCCAGATTTTTCCTCTGTTAAGCTCGGAGATATGCAAAGGAACTACAGTATTGACTTGAAGAGAATTGTAGTAGATTAGAACAGGGAAAATTTAAAGTTTATCAGTAGAAATGGCATGTTTGAAGACAGAGAACTCAAGGAATGTATACTGTTACTAAGTACAGAATCAGATTAAATGGGGGAGAGGAAACTGGAGAATGTCTACATTTCACTAGATAACAAGAATGGAGTGAGCCAAGAACTCAATTGGAGTTTGACAAATGAAGCAGAGGTCCAACTGAGGCTGAACTGAATATGAACCACACTCAGTGGCCTTGGCAATGCCCCCTCCCTTGGTAATGGTATAATGGTAACAAACACATGCAAATGAAATCAATAGTGCAGCAACATGTGCTCCAGCTAGCTTCCCCTTGGAGGATGGAATTTGAAAAGTTTGATGAGCATTTGAATCGCAGACAAAAGATGTGGTCAAGATGGAAAGAATCTATGTTTAAAACACTGAGTTTCCAGGTACTATGGCTGCTGTTGTTTTTCTCACTCTCTTGGTTGCACTTAATGCCAACAATTCAAGTAGTCACAAATCCATGTTGTCTTGCTCTCCCCGACACCAAGATCAAGTTGCTTTAATGTCAAAAAATAAATACTTTTCTCACTAATTTCATTTCATTCATTTTTATTACTGTTACTTATGTATTTATTTTCCAATAAATTTGAAAAATATAGCAAGCAGAACAACTTGGGAGACCTTTGTCTCTCTGCCATTAGAAAGCATTGAGCGAGTCACTGGGCCCTTCTCAATTGAATTTCCTTAATTTGTAAACTGGTAAGGTTGTGGTAGATAATCAGTATTTTTTTAAGGACTTAATTTTTTTAGAGAATTTTTAGATTCACAGCAAAATTAAGAGGAAAGTGCAGAGACTTTCTGTATACCTCCTGCCCCCATACATGCACAGCCTCCTCTGTTATCAACATCCCCCACCAGAGTTGTACATTTGTTACAACTGATGAACCTACATTGACACATCATAATCACACAAAGCCCATAGTTTACCTTAGGATTCATTTTTGGTGTTGTATACAGCTTAGGGGTTTGGACAAATGTATAATGACATGTATCCAACATTATAGTCTCATACAAAGTACTTTCACTGCCCTCTATATCCTCTGTGTTCTACCTGTTTGTTGCTCTCCCCGACACCAACTTCTGGCAACCACTAATCTTTTTACTCTCTCCATAGTTTTGAATGTCATGTAGTTGGAATCATACAGTATGTAGACTTTTCAGATTGGCTTCTTTCGTTTAGTAATATGCATTTAAGGTTCCTCCATGTCTCTTGATGGCTTGATAGCTCATTTCTTTTTAGTGTTAAATTGTATTCCATTATCTGAACGTACCCCTGCTTATTTATCCATTCACCTTCTGAAGGACATCTTTGTTCCTTTCAAGTTTTGGCAATTATGAATAAAGCTGCTATAAACATCCCTGTGCAAATTTTTACATGGACATAAGTTTTCATCTCCTTTGGGTAAATGCCAAAAAGTACGATTGCTAGATCACATGGTAAGAATATGTTCAGTTTTGTAAGAAACTGCCCAACTGTTTTGCAATATGGCTGTACCATTTCACATTCCCACCAGCAATGAATGAAAGTTCCTGTTGCTCCTCATTTTTGACAGCATTTGGTGTTGTCTGTGTTCTGGATTTTGGCCACTTTAATAGGTGTGTAGTGGCATCTCATTATTGTTTTAATGTCCATTTCCCTGATAACATATGATAGGGAGCAACTTTTCATATGCTTTTTTGCCATCTGTAGATCTTCATTGGTGAGGTGTCCGTTAAGATCTGTGGTCGATTTTTTAATCAGTTGTTTGTGTTCTTATTTTTGAGTTTCAAGAGTTCTTTGTGTATTTTGGATAATAGTCATTTGTCAGATGTATCTTTCACAAATGTTTCCTCAAAGTCTGTATCATGTCTTCTCATTGTATTGACATTATCTTTCACAGAGCAGAAGTTTTTAATTTTTTCTTTTTTCTTTTTTTTTGCTGAGGAAGATTTGCCCTTAGCTAATGTCTGTTGCCAATACTCCTCTTTTTTTTCCTTATTCTGTTCCATTGACCTATTTATCTATTCTTTTACCAATACCCCCACTGTCTTGATTAGTATATGTTTATAGTAAGTCTTGAAGTCAGGTAATGTCAGTCCTCCAACTTTGTTCTTCTCCTTCAATATAGTGTTGGCTATTCTGGGTCCTTTGCCTCCCATATAAATTTTATAATCAGTTTGTCAATATCCATGAAATAGCTTGTTGAGATTTTGTTTGAGATTGTGTTGAATCTATAGATCAAGTTGGGAAGAACTGTCATCTTGACAGTATTGAGTCTTCCTATCCATGAATATGGGACATCTCTCCTTTCATTTATCAGAATTTTGTAGTTTTCCTCATATAGATATTGTATATGTGTTGTTAGATTTATACCTAAGTATTTCATTTTGGGGGGTGTTAATATAAATGACGTGTTTTTAATTTCAAATTCCACTTGTTCATTGCTGGTATATAGAAAAGCAATTGACTTTTGTTTATTAACCTTATATCCTGCAACTTTACTATGATAATTTATCAGTTCCAGGACGTTTTAGTCAATTATTTCAGATTTTCTAAATAGACAGTCATGTCATGTACAAAGAGAGTTTTATTTCTTCCTTCCCAATCGGTATACCTTGTACTTCCTTTTGTCTAATTGCAATAGCTAGGACGTCCAGTACAATGTTGAAAAAGAGTGGTGAAAGGACATTCTTGCCTTGTTCCTGATCTTAATGGGAAATATTTGAGTTGCTCATCATTATGTATGATGTTAGCTGTAGGATTTTGTAAATATTCTTTATTAAGTTGAAGAACTTCCCTTCTATTCAGTAATTTTTAAAATAGTAGTCCTCAATGGCTTTCTCCAATGAAAAGAAACACAAAAGAATAGTAATAAAAAGAGTCACATGCAAGACATTTGGGTAAGGCTAGAGTTTGAACATAAAAGGAACCTCAAAAGAACCTGTCAGAATCTCAGGAAAACTCTGTATTGGCGGATTTTTTTCCCCTTAGGTTCCTGCCTGCTTTGTTGCCCTCCCCTGATCCTTGGTCAGCCTGGTTTGGTGTGTTCACTGTTGTTAAATGTCCATCTTCTTCTTACTTTCTCCAATTTCCTCTCTGGACTGTTTGAAAAACATTAACCCTAAATTTTTTTGGAGTCGTGACTTTGATTTTTTGATACATGCCCTTCCCCAAAATGCAGTATGTCGTATATTTATTTTAAAATATTAAACTGTGGTTTGTTTTCTGATAAGACTTTCCACAGTACTGGTGCAGAAAATTTTCAGTATCTTCTGTGGCTAAGCTAAAGTTAGCTTCTTGTAAATAGATCTGTGTTTTGTGTCACTGCTTCATTCAATGAACTTTTTCATTCATTCAACAACTTCTTAAGTGCCTTTTGTATACCAAAGTCTGTGCTGAGCACTGTGGATTATGGTGAACAAGACAAAGGATCTTATCGTGAGGGAAGCAGATGAATGTGCAAAAAATATTTAGTTATGGTAAGTACATTGAATGTAATTTGCTCAGGAATGTTGCACGGGAATGAGCAAGTAGATAATCTAAACTCGAAGTCAGGTATAGACTTGAATGCTTCCTTTGGAGTTACTTCCTAAGTAACTCTGAGATGAGTCTTTAAAGAGTAAGTTTAAAGGGTAAACGAAGTGAATTAGTCAGGGTGAAGTCAGAATAAACAGAAACAACTCTAGATATTTCTAACAGTGGGAAATTAAAATAGGGCATTAGTTCTCTGGTGCTGGAAGAGCTGAGACACCAAACTAAGCAAGATAAGGCAGTCCTAAGATTAGCAAAAGCAAGAAGCCACTGCCACCCCTAAAACTGAACAGACAAAGAAAAGAGGTCTCTTATTGACTGCAAGTTAGAGCCTTCTAGAACAACTGAGAATGATGACAGTGAGGCTAATGAGGCTGCCTTGCAAGAACTGATGACATACGGGAGACACTGCCTGTGGCAGGGCAAGGGTGTGTGTATGTGTGTGAGACAGAGACAGAGAGACAGAGCGAGAGAGGCAGACAAAGAGAGACCCTTACCAAGTCCCTTCTCCCTGCTTTCTAATCTTCTGCCTGAGTCTGCCTTTGGCCAGACCTACCAGGAAGCCAGTCAGCTGGCAAAGGAGGTTAGGAACTATAGTTAGCTGAGAGAATGGATCTAAGAGTAAATAGACAAATGATTGCATCATTCATTGGCAAGTGGTGGTTTGGATAGTTTGGAGTGGTCATGAGAAGAGGAGGATGTTCACACAGATACCAACATAAGCCAAAACCCCAGGACGGGGAACAGCATGGAACAGAATCTCAGTCAGGGTCATTGAAGTTTCCAATGTGAGTCATAGATTGTAGGAGCTGAACAATAGGCAGCCACCCGACATGGGAGGCTTCATATGACTGGTGGAGGAACTGGCCATCTGCCCTGCAGGCTGTGGAAAGACACTGGGGTGTTTTCAGTAGGGAAATGACAAGTCCATCTTTGTGTTTTAAGTCCCTTGGACAGTTGTGTAGATTCAGAATGATTTTGAAGAAGCAAAGATTTACTTATTTCCTTGCCTTTAGTCTTGTCCTTTTCAAATTCATTCAAGCAAGACACAGTGAGAAGCTATAAGAAAATAGTAGGAGGGATGGAAAGGATAAAGACTTAAATAACAGGATGATTGAATGTCCAGGTGAGGGAGAGAGAAGGGCCAGGGATAACACCCACATCTCTAACCATAGCTGAGTGGAGGATGATGGTGTTGCCAAATAAGGTTAAGTTTGAGTTGGAAAGCCTATGGGACATCCAGGTAGTGATATCAAGGAGCAGATGGATATCTGAACATATAGGGGTCAGTGGTTGAATGAGAAGAGATGTGGACCAAGATTTGTGATCTGTAGGGTGCAAAAAAATTAGAACCTTAAAGGAAAAAGGGAAAGAATCTCAGACAGGTCCAGGTGTTATTGGATTTAGTGATAGGAACTGATCTTGTTCTAAATCATTTCCAGAGGAAAAAGACGTAGAAACCAAATTGTGGTGGATTAAGAAGTAAAAGGAGACAAGAAGGTGGCAACAGTGAATATAGATGCTTCTTTTGAGAAGTTCGGATGTGAGGGCAGAAAAGATGGGATGGAATCTAAAGCTGGGATGGGTTTTAAGTGTAGGGTTGGTGAGAATTGGATGTGTATGGTCAGGTGCAAAAAGCCACAGATGGGTTTAATCTTTAGAGGATAGAGTAGAGATGAAGACCAAGGGGCTCAGGGCTGGAGTCAGGCCTGGAGAAGATTGGGGGAATTTTCCACAACTGCTTGCCAAGGAATTGAGCTTATGCTGTAAAGACAGTGTATTTAGAATTCCGGCCTTTGGCAAAGAGCCCATGTAGCACCTTCCAGTTACAAGCAGAAAGCACCTCTATGACTGCCTGAATGATTTTAGGAAATAAATACAAAAACTATCAATTGTATAACACTTTGCAACCTTCAGACTGGGTTCACAATTTCGTTTGATCCTATGATCACCTCATAGCTGTGTGTATATGTAAACATAAACATATACATGCATACAAACATATATATATATATATATATACACACGCATGTATGTGTGTGCACACACACTTGTATGCACTTGCATACACACACACGTCTCTAGGAAACTCTTTATTAGGAACCTGAGGCTCAGAGCAGATATGACTTGAGAAACCTTTCACATCCTTACATGATTTAACCCAGGTCTTCTGTCTTCCAAATCCTAGGGATAGACTTTGTCATTCTCCTCGATTGGCCTAGAGAGTGTCAGGCAGAGGGATTGCCCCCTCCACTTCACTTCTGGTTCACCAGGCCTTTCAGCCTTAGACATCTGGGGGCCTCTTCTCTGGCACGTCTAGTGTTTCCCTCTGCGCCATATAGCCACTCATCTCCTTATAGGGCAGCTCCTCCCCTGCCAGCCTCCTGTGTTCTGACATCAAGGCGTCCCCAGAACCTGCCCACAAAGCTTCCTATCCTGAGCTCTTCCTTTCCACATACAGGTGGCACGAACAGTGGGCTCATATCTGTACACTTTTTCTTTAGGACCTGGTTCTCAAATTCTCTCATCTTTCTCTGCTGCCAGATTTCTTCCAGTTTTTGAATCCAGTATTTCTCCCCATCCCTACTCAAGGCCCTGCCAACCCACTGCTCTTTGGAGCCACACAGCCCTGGTGGGACTCCTGATTCAGTCACATACCAACTGGAACCAACTGGGCAGGTTACTCAGCCTTATTGAAGCTAATAATCCTTTGTGGGTTATTTGTGGATTTCAGGAAAGAGAACGTCTGTGAAGGGTCCAGCTCAGTGCCAGGCTTCATCAATATTAGCTCCCTTTCCCCACCCAGAGCGGGCCGGAGCTCTTATCCACATCTCGCAGCACTTAGCACACTAATATAATTAGAACATTAGGATATCTAAAAGGCAATTACCATTTAATTGTTCTGGCCCAGCCAGCCTGAAGTTCCTCTCCATTCACTTCTAATTTGGAGCGAGGGGGTTTTAGTCCTGCCCTGGCTGGTCACAAAATCACTGCCTTAGAGAGAATTGAAAATCACTTCAGTCAGCCATTGATTACAAGATAAAAGATTTGGTAATTCCCTTCATTTTGTTCTATATAAAAATGCAAATATCAATTTGCTCCTAGCCGGTGAACAAATCAGACAATTTCAAGCAGCATCTTTCTGTGACCTAGTGAATTATCCTGCTTGGTTAGACCAGCGCTGCTCTCAAGAAGGCCTGCCCTCCGTCATAGGTGCTATACTGATCTTCATTAAAATAAATTAGTGCTCTTGTATAGATTCAGACTTAGAATCAAGTTTCAGTCATCTCTTCTTAAAAGACATTTATTTATATTACATACTCAATTTAAAGGAGTAAATGCCCTTCCCTCAGCCTGCAAGTTTGTTTATCTTAGCGCTACTGTGAGAACCTAATGCCCAAATGAAGGCAGTGTGTTTTATTTCTCCTCCTCTAACCCGACGTCGCAGCATAAAGCAACAGCAGTCTCTAATCAAGAGGAGCCCGAAAGTACTCTGAGATTTTGAATCCAAATCTTTAATATTCGAACTGCTCATGTGCGTTTGAGGAAACCTAGATTGCCTGAAGCCACACGGAAAGTATTTACATCTGAACCACTTTACATGTGATTGTGAGTTAAAGTAAATTCTAAATAACTTTAGCAGTTTGTGATTTGGAAAACAGCCTGGGCCATATAAATTCTCCCTTAGTTCTTTTTCTGTTAAATCTTATGCCAAAGTAAATGGAAGCTGTAGAGAACCTTTGAACTCCTCAGTTCTCAAATGACCTCAGTGAGGTTGGATTGGCAGAGCCAGTGTTTAGTTTCCAAAGGAAGATTTTTTCTTTCCTCCTTGAAGTGTACACATGACAGTTGCCTACCTTCCTTGGCAGGGGATGTAGTATTGCTTCCTGGGCCTTCCGGGCTCTGGGCCATGTCCAGGCCTCTGAGAAATGGGTTTTTTGCCATCAGGAGCTCCTCCGTGCAACTCTTGGGGATCCTAGAGTTGGTAGCCCCGTTTCTTAGCACCTCTGCTTCACAGCTCAGTCAGCTTTGCTTTTCCCTTCCCTTTCTCTTTCAGAAAGAGCTGTTGAAAGCGAGAGGTCTGAAGTTCAATGCCACCTCTTCCTGCTGGTTAGGGCGAGAGCTTAACTTCTCCCAGCTTCAGTTTCCTTTACCATGAATTGGAGATTAAAAATAGTCCTGCCCACACGAGTCCCTCTCTTTTCTGAATGTTTTATTCTTATACTCACAACTGTGCAGTATTATTCCTTTATTAACTGTTAATAAATAATTAGTTAAATATATCTTACAATAAATGATATATACATGTATGAGTATATATACATGTAATATAACTATATATATAGCATATATATTATACGTTAGCATGTTTTTGTCACTAGACCAAATGCCTTTTGAAGGCAGGGGCAATGGCTTCCGCTCCAGTGTGTCATCCTTAGAGTCCAGGGCCATGCTGTGCACAGCATAGGTTCCCAGTAGACAAGCAGTTGAGTACAGTCTTATGAAGGTCCCTCTTTAACCCTATTGTGCCAAAGTTAACAAAGAAAAGTATTATCTACCAGTCAAGCTAATGTTCACAAAAATTAATTTTACTCTCCTTATATTTTAATGTGTGCTATGTCTCTAGTATAAAAATAATCCTGAAGAAAAAAAGAACACACATATTTCACATTTCTGCCCTAACACAAAGGAACATATTGCATGTTTGTTAATCCTTTGAAAACAAATGTTTCTTCCTTTTTTTGGAGGGGGGTCAGTTTACAAAACATTTTTTTACCCTTAACCCTCAGCTCTGAGAAGTCAGTATTATTTGCCATAAATTCTTACTAGTTGGGCATATTTGAGAAATAGCATCACATAGACAATTTCTTAATTCGTTATCCCAAAATTAAATCTCACATTAAGGTGGGCTATCTATTGTCTGCTGTTTGTGGTTGTTCTTCAATAC